GTATTTTATTTAGATCTTCATTAGACTGTTGGAATTGAGAACCAGACATACGTAATAAACCTCCAAAAATAGATCCTGAAAGGCACTTTCTGCTTAGGGCAAGCAGTCATGGAATAAGCATGTAAACAAGCTGGCTTCTCTGTAAACAAATATTAAAATAGCAATGAATATTAAAATAGCATTTTATGATTTATAATTTATGGCTGTTATGATACACACTGGAAAAGGCATAAGAATTAACAACTTGAATATGGAGAGTATTAAGAACTAGGTCCCAGTCATACTTTCAAAAGTTAAACTTTGCTCTAAGAATTGAAGTCTCTTTTAAAACAAATTCAGGTTCACAGCAAAATGAAGAGGAAGATGGAGAATTTCCAGATGCTCCTTGCCTTCCAAGTGTGCATAGCTTCTTGTTGTCTGCCCTGCCCGAGTGCTACATTTATTGTCTCCAGTTTTGCCTTTTCTTGGGTGTCATGTATTTGGAAGTATACAGTGTGTAGCCTTTTCAGATTGGCTTCCTTCAGCTAATGATGCACATTTGAGGTTCTTCCATGCCTTGGTAGCTCATTCCCTCTCCTCTCCTCTTCTGCCCCCACTTCCTTTGCTATTTCGCCCTTCTCTCTGACTCCTGCTCCCTTTTCTCCTGCTATTTCCCTTCTCCCTCTCATGTTCATCTCTTTCTCAAGTCCCTTTCCCTTCTTATCCCTCTCCGTTTCCCCTTTTACTCCTTTCTTTTCCTTCTCTTTTTCCTCTTCCTTCCTATTTAGCCTCTTCCTCTTTTTCCTGTTTCTCTTCCTCCCTCTTTGTCCTCTTTCTTCTTCTTCTTTCACCTTCTTTTTCCCCCTCCTTTTTCATTTACTTTTCTGTATTGCAGATTGAACAGAGAGTTCATTCATGCTAGGCAAGCATTTCATCACTGCATTACCTGGGCTGGCCTTGAACTTGCAATCCTCCTGCCTGAGCCCCCTGAGTATCTGGGATTATAGGTGTGAGTCACGGCATCCAGGGGTAGCACTTTAGTGCTGAATGATACTCCACTGTCTAGATATACTACAGTTTATCCATTCATCTACTGAATGAATGACATCTTGCTTACTTCTGAATTTTCATAGTTTTGAATAAAACTTCTGTAGGTATCCCTGTGCAGGTGTGTGTGTGTGTGTGTGTGTGTGTGTGTGTGTGTGTATGTGTGTGTGTGTAAATTTTCAACACATTTGAATAGATACCACAGAACAGAATTTTAAAATCAGATTGTTGCTGGACATCATGGCACAGTCCTGAATCTTAGCACTCAGGAGGCTGAGGCAGGAGGTTCGTTATGAGTTCAAGGATACTTGGAATAATGAGTTTAAGCCCAGCCTGAACTACATAGTGAGACCTTGTCTCAAAAATCACACAAGCAAATCAAGTTGTTCACTTTCTTATTCTTGAGTTTTAAGAGTTCCTTTTTTTGTCTTTGTTTTTGAGATGGGGGTCTTGCTGTATGGTTTAGGCTGTCCTTGAATTTGTGGTGATAGCCCTGTCCCAGCTCCCAAGTGCTGGGATTACAGGTGTGCACCATTACACCACGTTTAAGGGTTCTTAGCATGGTTTAGATGGCAGTCTTTTATCAAGTATGACTTTTGCAAATATTTTCTTGTAGTCTGTGGATTGTCTTCTCATTTTCATGGCAGTGTCATTTATAGAGAAGTAATTTTTTTTTGACATCAGTTATTTTTATTTTAAAGAAAGAAAAAAA